GAACAGAAGTAACTCAAACCTGAGAATGTTTGGAGGTTGAAATCATCCACTTGTTGCAGAGGACACTCATTGTTCTGCCGGGATCATTCCTGAAACTTTATGGAAGTAAGTAGGCTCCCTTGGTTTTCCTAAACCTGATCAAAGGGGGAGAGATTAGGGATTCCCACTGTGAAATTTAAGAGCAGGCTGAAGCCTCATTTGTTTCTACCTTGTATCTCCTGAAGTTAGAAAGCAGGTATCTGCTTTGTAAGCTTCTTCTCTTTTCACATCTCCTGGAAGGGTCAAAGATAAAGGCATTCCTTTGTGTGGAATTAGAATGAGCACTCTGCAAACCATAACTAAATTTTTTTCAGTAAGAATTCAAAATTGTAACACAACATGAAAGATGGTCATGAAAAATTAAACAATATAATGTATGTAAAGAACCACGTATGATGCCATGTGTTTAGTGTGCATTCAAGAAATGGCTGCTGTTGTTGAGAAAGTCAGGCTGAAATTCTGGGGCAAAATACAGAGAATAGCTCAATAAAACTCTTTGGTTCCCTAATACTTAACCTCAGGAAGCTTTACTCTTATCATTTATAAAATGAGATTAATAATACCTTCTTGATTTTGTCTAGAGTTGGTTGAAATTTCCAAAAAATTTAGTACTCTATTCACTAGCCTTATTTTAATAAATACTCAACCACTGGTCAAATTTCTTGGGCAATGCAATGTGAAACATGGAGTGGGGAAGAAATGATTTGTACATGGAAAAAATATACATATAGTTGAAACAAATAACATCTTCACATTCATAAAGTACTGAAAAGCATTGAAAATGGATAAAGGTCTATGCAGGATTTAAATACTGATTGTTTCTCTTCATAAATGGCAGAGAACTCTATAAAGAATTTCATTGCTTTTTAATAGACTATAAGTACTTGTATTGCTGTATTCTCCATTTGATATTAGGAAAAGAATCCATTTCAATATAGCTTAATACTTGCAAAAAATTTTAAGGCTAATTAGCCATATACATTATGAAGTCACCTTTTATTTCCAGTTATTTCACAAGGCAGTATAGGAGAGCTATCTTCTTGTTACACTTCTCTTTCACAGAATTGTTGCCTACCCAAGTTTACCCTGTGAAGCTCCTGCTTCTAATATACCGTGATACACTCTTTTGCTCTGAGACCCTTTGGAGAATAGAGGCTCTTCTCAGGAACTTTTTTTAGTGCTTTACTCAGGAGCTTATGAGTTAAGGATGCTATGAGACTAATTAACTATTTTCTTTCACATAAGCAATGCTGGAACCTAGATATAATATAGCTTTTCTTTCCAAATACATTGGAGGATTAAACCATAACATGCAACAGATACCTCAAATTTCAATCTATATAAACTGATTCCAGGGCAAGTATATTGTCCTGGGAACAACCTGTTAGAAACTGGATTATTTTCTTTAGGGGACAGGAAGGTATTCTGTAAATGAGCTTTCTTAATACACAGCAGCCCTCACTTGTTTACAATAACCTTGATTTCTGAAGGTCATAGCCTCTCAATTGCCTTACATGTTTTTCCTTATCAGCCGCAGAAAAGACTAGGCCTCAAATGCCTAAAGTTCTTGGAAAATATTAATTGAGAGAAAGTGACCTCATAAGAAATAAAAAGACTGGAGCAGTTCTTCAGAGGCCAACAAACGTTCCAGTTGTTGCTCTGGCTCAGGAGGATGAAGATTGAGCTAGTGTGGTGGTCAACAGAGCTTTGGAGGTTCAAAGTGTAGCTCTCTGTGCTCACAAACTCTTCCCAAACTCTCATGTCTCTGAATTCCAATATAATGGCTACATGAGATTCATTAAATGAAGAAATGGAAATGGTATTGTTCCAAAGGGCATAGGGGCTACAGAGCTGGTTGTAAAACAGGTGTCATAAACTAAGAGGCCAGAATGAATCCATGGAAACCACAGCCTCGTTCTTAGAATGGGCGGCCACCAGTCAGAACCTGAAGCTTGCTTTCCAATAGGACTGTATTTGCATAAAGATGTGTTTGTCTAGTCACACACTCCTGGCAGCATACAACTTGGAGTCAGTATTGTCAATTTCACCACATCTTAGCCAATGGAGAAGTTGGAGGTTGTAACTTCCCCAATATTTTTTCTCATGATAGTGTTACTTATGCCTATGGAACACCAGGAAATGAGGTTGTGATAAACAAATCAGGGGTCTTATTGCACATTAAGAGAGATTGTTTATCCTGTAAACCACTCTTGGACCATCACAGGGATTTGAGGAATTCAATTAATATTTTAGGACATGTGATTCTTTTACTGGTAATAATGCTTATACATTTCCTCATGAAGCTAGAAATCAGGGGGAATATTTATCCAAGCTACCTTTATTTGTTCTTGATGAAGATGAATCCTTATGCAAGATATTTGGACTCATGAAAGTTCAGATGTCTCAAAAAGGCCAGATAAGTCTGTGTGGATTAAAGTTTTTATCAGATTAGACTCACTGTACCTCTATCTCAACCCACCACACCTTCTCCCATAACCCCAACTCAGGATGTTAAGCATCCTCTTTTGAGGACAGTGTCCTAAAATTGCCTAATTAGATGCTATCATTTGGTGTCCATATTCCATTGCCAAGTATCTAGTATGTCTAGTATAATAGAGGTTGGGTTTACTATTTTAAAACAAAACATTGTAATGTTCTTGGACTGCTATCAACATCATCTTTGTTTTCAAGATATTTTTAAAGAGTTGGTAGAATAGAGAATGGCTCTTTATTATTTTTCAAAGCTTTCCCTTCAGCCAGGGACCATGAAAGTCTTACATTCTAGTACTTTCCAAAAGGTGTGTGTGAGGAGGCCCTGTTGAGGATGTCCTGGACTGCCAGCCTCTGTACTTGGGATCCTTTGTGTAGAATGCTGAGTTGCCCTAGTGGGCTGACCCAGCGCTGGGGCCCTGAGATGGATTGTTCAGGCTGAACATCATAGAAGTCAGATGCTGGGTATGATAGTGTTATTACTCTACATCACCCAATTTGCCGTATCTTAATTAACTACCTTTGTTCTGTACTGCATAGACTTGGGACTCGAGGAAGCTCCTTTTTGAGTCCAGGGTAAACTTGAGAGTTTATAGAGTTTGAAGCCTAGATCGCCCCCAAATTTTATTGTTGTCCAAGGAACAACTTTCTCACCCTGACCATTATCAGACTGCTGCCTAGGAAGAGAAGTCCAGTGGAGCTGAGAACAGCCAACCTTTAATTACTTACTACATTCCCCAAACCTAGGGTTTGCAAGTAAAACTACCTGCTACTAATGTAGGGGTAGGATTGCCAGCACCTGAGTACATTTTATGTGTACTTTAAGCTTGCCATAGAGTATTGTAGACTCAGTCATACCTCCCTCAGAGAGAGCATCTTGGTCTTATGCTAAAATTTCTCATCTTAAACCAGAATGACAAAGATAGGTCGTTATGATTCTTTAAGATGATGGAAAGTCACTTGGAAAGATCTTCATGGGACACATGGGACCTTACTTTTAGAAATACTTATTTGTGTTAACATGACTTACATAAGAAAGAAGTGATATATGTGGGTGATAAAACAAGCAACAAGTATAAATCTGTGTCACTAATTTGTGAATAAATATATTGGTCATTCTCTGCATTAGGAAGTGATATGACCATGTGAATTTCATTTTATCCCTAAATTATATATATCCCATTGTGTACATGTTAATACCTATATGTTTTGAGTATATGTATATATGTGTGTATACACATGTGCATATACATATAGATGTAATGTAGTTTTTAAAAGCATGGATAAATGTAGGTGAGCAGCTATGAATTAAGTGGCTATAAATCTACTACTTTCATAGTAAATCACTGAGGTATTCTTTAGCAGTGAACATAGTTTTTCACAAAATTTTATTATATCCATTAAAGATAGCATTAGTGTTAATTAAATAGTTCCACAGGTAAATTTTTTTTTTCTGGGAGTGTTTTAACATCTTTGTTTATGAAACTTGGAAGATATTAAGTTAGTATTTTCATTTGAATAAACCCACTTAGTATGTATCACAACTTAAAATATAAACATAAAACACTTTGCCAATCCATGCAATCCTTATAACTTACCAACCACATTGAATGCTATAGCATTTAATGCTATATTAAATTTATTTTTTAAATACAAGTATGACTCTTGGCCTTGATCATCGTTTCCATGTTCACTGTTGGCTACATCCAGGATTTTCAGTTACTCGTTATTTCCTTCCATCAGTTTCTGCTGGCAATAACACTTGGTGTTCAGATAGCACCATTTGTACTAATCCAAAGTCATGGGCAGGCATGCTTCATGCACCCTCCCATTGTCTGTGAGAAAGCAGCTCACAGAGTCTGTATTTGGTGACCCTGAGACTCTTTGCAGTGACAGAGCTAAGGCAATGGCAGGACAGAAACTGAGTCAAGTTGGCATGTCCCAAGGTAAGGACCCTAGGTTTCACACAAGTCAGGGACTTAACGGAGTACCCAGCTTGGAAGCCCCTATTGCGCTCTCTTTGGCCAGCCAGGCCCTTAAACACCAAAGTGTAATCTCTTGAGTATTCATCTCTGAAGGGAGCAGAGATGACACAGTGAAGCACCACGTGCTCACCCCTGACTAGATACAGCGCGAGCCAAGACAAGTGTCCCACAAAGCAGAAACTGTGGAACCAATGGACACTTTATTATTCATGTGGCATTTAATACCTGTCACCATCCCATGTTCCTGTCTGTCTGATAACAGGACTGCTTTTGATATTTGCTCAGCTGCCCCTGTCCCTTCAGCAGGCAGGAAATCAGCATGCATTCCCCAGCCACCCAGAAACCAGCATCTAAACATCATCTCTTTTCAACAAGCTAAAACAACAATAGTTTAAATTACTTTGAAACTTTAATTACAGGTACTTTTCCACTCAACATTTGGATTCTCTTTTTTTTTTTTTTTTTTTTTGCATAAAGGCTGTCACGGTGCTTAAGCTAAATTGTGTGTCTTTTTCTATGTACATATCTACACCCAAGTCTCTTCTTTATTAATAAAAGGTGTCTTGACTGCAGTCCCAAACCAACTCTGCACTGGATTCCAGGTTGTAAAACTCAGAGAGGAGGCAGTTTCAAAGGAGGACAGGAAGCAACCACAATAAAAAAAATGTAGCTTGATAGTCATTTCTTCTAAGTCCAACACAGAAACAATAATTAAGAGGAAGAAAAGAAGAGGACCTAGCTTTCACCCTGCTCCCTTTACCAAACACATTAGCCCCAAACACTCTGCGGTCTTAAAGTGCAATTACTATTGTGAAGGCACCCAGGCCAGGGATCCGACTGGATGGAGTTCAAAGCAGAAACTTCAAACAGTGCTGCTTATGACTCAGGCTGGGAAGGAGGGGGCGGGGTGGAGGAGAAAAGGCATGACAGTTCTCGGGCACTCAAGTGCATCGGAAGAAGTGTCCTCTCTTTTCATAAGGGAGAAACTTAAATTGTAAGGAAACCTGGTTTGGAAAAATATAACTTTTAAACAATTTCTATCTGAGGACATTCCAGTGCAGCAGAGTCAAAAGGCAGGCTAGCGCAGCGAAGAACCAGGGACAAGCGCTCCTCCTAGGCGCCCAGCTCCCATACTGTTGGGCCCTGTGGTCCTCAGGGAAGTCCTCGGGCCGGGGTACAGAGGAAGCACACTGGACTAAGGGCATCTGGTAGGACGTGGCTCTCTTCTCGGGCCTGTCTGGGCTGGACCCGTCACTGGGCCTCTGGCCATTGAACAACAGATAGCGGCCACGGGCATCCTGTTCCATTTTGAAGATCTCGTATTCCGTGTGAGGTAGTTTGATTCCCAGTGCCACACAGCCATTGGTGTGGGTCACATCTTGCTGGATGCCCACCTGCCAGGAGCCCTCGGCCCCACATTCATTCCCATTGAAGACGTTGAGGAGCGAGGCAGTAGCTGCATCCATGGGGGTGACCTTCATGTGATTCACTGCAAAGGAGAGAGGACAGTTCCATGACGCTACGGCAATGAGCATGCGATGCAGAAAGCCCACGAGCACCTGCTGGCAGCATTCCATCTCCACATGGTTATATGATCTAAGATCCACCCTGATAAAATCCATCTAACTCTGCCTGAGTAAAAAAACATTCTCAGGTGGAAAGATCAATGTGTTGCTATGAATGACAATCACACCAAATTTGTGTAATCAAAAACTTACTACGTTTAGCATATGAATGCTGAGCCCAGGGTGCAATTGATCACAACTGTCTTTGGTGACACGGACTCTTTGGGATTGACAAAATAGTCAATAAAACTGGAATTCTGGATTTTATGAAAAAACTTTTAAGGTTTTTAAACAGATATACTAGTTAGAAGTTTTGCAAATTAATACTGGCCCATAAATCAGGCAACTAAAATAAATTAGGCTACAAGCAAGAAACATGAGTAAATATATTAAATATAAATAAACTCCAGCATTTACAGATGGTATCTTTTGAAGGCCCTCTCAGGAGACTGCATTCTTGTACACAGAGAGCTTTGGGGTGAAATCAGACAAATATGGCCACTATCTCAGCTACAACTATCAAAGCTCCATTCTTAGAGCAAATCTTCCTTTCCTAAGAGAGTTAAAATGCCCTACTACTTATCTGCATTATCAGTAATATTTTATACTAAATAGACTTCACCATGAAATGCTATCCTGCAAGTGGTCATACACAGTGTCTAGACTATCCCTCTTTGCCATAACAGGGCTGACACCATCTTACAAAGATGTACAGCTTAAAAAATATCTAAAAGACCCCCCTTCCTGATAGTAGCCCAGTGAATCTCATTCCTTACCTTCCTCACTCATTATGCATCCTAAAGCTCCCACCTTCAAGCACATGACAAGTTCTCTCAGTAGTACAAACTCAGCATTGCAAATGACAGCTCTGAGTCCCTGATGTGTGACTAACACCTGCTCTTTATCGCTCACTAAAGTACAATGCATGTACTGTGATACTATCACAGAAGTAGCTCAGAGTACGCCATGAGCTACACATAAGAAAAAAAACATACAGACTTGAGATTTCATTTCTAGTCACATGCTCCAGGACCACATCTGACACCATGCACAGTGGTGTGGGCTTCCCGGCACCACGGCCTGCAGCTGGAGCAGCCCACCCTGGCTGAGAGAAGAACTCACAGGCTATTGTAAATGACGACCTTGGGGCAGAAAGCATTCCCTACTCTCTTCTCTAACACCTCTAGCAGAAAAAAGGCCCTTTCCCTTGGATTCTGCCTCAGCAAGTCACAAAACTGCTCACTCTCCCTCACCCATTGGGCTGCTACATTGGGATCTAAGGGAGGAGACCTACCTTTGAACACAAACTCAGTTCCTCCCATGACTCTGGAGGAGTGCACGCCCCGGCTGTAACGGCCTTTGGCATAGATGGTGAAGGTGGGGTGCTTGCAGACAGGGTCGGAGTAATGGTAGTAATGCCCTTCCCAGGTGTTATTGTTGTCATGGAAGATGAAGTGGCGTGTGAGGAAGAGGACTTCAGGTCGCACCTCACAGCGCTGGCTCACCCATTCGCCATGCAGGCCCACGGTCAGGTCAGCCTTGGGGGGCAGGAGGGGAGGGTGATGCTCATCTGACCGGTGGATGATTCGACAGGCTATGCAGGCATGGTCATGGTTCTGCAGTCACAAGACAAATACAAGGAGAGATCTGTCTTCATGAGAGTACAGGGTATGCAGCAAACGGGGATCACCACAGCAGGGGTGGTGAAGCCCCTCAGCACTATCACTTGTGACCTGGGTACTCAAGAAGCACCTGGAGCCACGCTATGCGGCAGATGGGGTGTTTTTGTGCATGCGTGTGCTTGTGAGTGTGCTCACAAGTGCACGTGTTTGGTCGACAATAGAAACTTAACCTAAATATTTCATAAAGAGATATGGACCCTCTTTAAAATCGTATTATATTTTTGGACATGTGCTAGACACTTTAAAAAAAAAAGGGTTGCCATCACCTCACACCCATTACGATGGCTACTACAAAAAAAAAAAAACAAAATAGAAAATGAGTGTTGAAAGGATGTGGAAAAATTGGAACTCTTGTGCAAACACTGGTAGTGGGAATATAAAATGTTGCAGCTGCTATGAAAAAGAATTACTCTATAATCCAGTAATTCCACTTCTGATTTATACCCAACAGACTTGAACCCAGGGTCTCAAAGAGATATTTTCTCATCCATGTTCATAGTTATTATTCACAATAGCTAAAACACAGAAAACAGCCCCATGTTCATTGACAGGTAAAGAAACAATGTGGTATATTCATACAATGAAATTCTATTCAATCTTAAAGAAGAAAATTTTTACACACGCTACAACATGGATGAACCTTGAGGATGTTATGCTAAGTGAAATAAGCCAGAAACAAAAGGACAAATACTGTGTGGTTCCACTTACATGAGAGGCCTAGGGTACTCAAGTTCATAGAGATAAGAAGTCGAATGGTGGCAGTCAGGGGAAGGGGGAGAAATGGGGAATTAGTGTTTAATGAGCACAGAGTTTCAGTTGGAGTTAGAAGAAAACGTTCTGCAGATGGATGATGGCTGCATAGTCATATGAATGTACTCAATACCACTGACTGTACACTTGAAAATAGTTAAGATGGTAAATTTTATGTTATCTGTATTTTACAATTAAGATTGTTTTCATTAAAAATTAGGAGACGCAAAACGTTTTTTAAAAGGACAGCATCCAATTGCTACTGATGAGAAAGGGAGCTGTCTCGTAAAGAAGGGAGTGGAGGAGGAGGCCCAGAGGAAGGTAAGAGCAGAGCCTCAGAAGTCGGCAGGCACACCTGTCATCCATTTGTGTGTGCAGGCCTGGGGGTATGGAAGGCTTATAGGCTCTTAATATGCTTCCTGCTTTACAGCTTTAAGCCATTTAATGAGTGCAAGATAGCTACAGCTCTTTCAGGAGCTCCCCTCTTGCTGAGTCTGCTTTACAGCACTAACACAGACCCCGGAACAGGGCTCTCTAGGTTTGTGGCTAGAAAACCAACTGGTAGGGTGGCCAGACACTGTCAACCATTTAAACGCTGGTGGCCTGCAGGGCTCAGAGTTTACATAAAAAGCTGAAGTCTAGAGGGCAAGAGAGCTGGGTTTTTGACCATACCTGCCATTGTCCAGCTGTTCACCTGGATTTGGGGATCTCCTCTCTCTCTGCTATAATCCCTCACACACAGGGGGCTGTAAAGTCAGCTGGCCTGACAGACACTGGCTATGCTAGAAGCCAACTCAAATCTGATCATTGCTATGGTGTATGCATGGGGAGGGGGGTGACAGTTGAGGCTCAGCACTCAGGACAGCCCCACAGACCCCAGCCCCTGTGCGCCCCTGCCCAGGGGAGCAGCTTGCTGGCAGGTGGGCACTGTGAGTATGCAGGCGGCAGGCACGTGATTGTTTTCTAAGTCAGAATTCCAAACCTCAAAGACCCTTTCATCTCCAGCACTGAATCAATAATGTGATGTTGCCGTGGCCACTGTTCAGTTAAACGCTTGGCCACCTCAGAGAGCGGGAGAGCAGTGGAGAAGAGGGCCTCCTCGCTGCCAGCCGTCTACCTTCTCTTCCAAGGAGAGTTCAACACTCACTTGCTTGTTGCTGCATTCACTACATGAGCCTAGAGTTGTACTTCATGGGACAGAAGGATCCCCTTTACTAACACTGTTTGCAGCTTGCAGATGATGAGATCAAATGGATAGCTGTAGAGTGAGATGCAGGCAGAGACTCGCTGTCCAGGGTCCCGATGCACTTGTGGGACTCATGGTTTCTACAAAGGGCTCTGGGGCCACACAAGAGAAGCTGCTCAGCAGCCTGTGATCAAAAGCGAGCTGCTGTCTAAAAGCGACAAACAGAGAGGGAACATCTACATACCTTTGTGCTTAACTGCCCCAAAAGACACAGCATCAGCCAGGTCCTGAGAGCCAGGCCCCAGGCCCCAGCTTTCAGCAGTGACTTGTTTGGCAGCAGGTGACCTGGGCAAGTTATTTATCTTTTCATGTTTCAATGTCATCATATACAAAATAGGGATTGTTGTACTTACTTGCATAACTGCTGCAAGAAATGAGTGATAGATTAAGGTGGTTCCCATTCGGTGCATCCAGTACCACTGTGAGGAGAGGTTTCTTGGAGTGGTGGAGCAGGGGTGGGATTGCATGCATGCACAGCACTTCACAGGACGACTAAATAAGTGGCATCTTCCACACTATATGTGCCACTATCTTTCAAATGTACAATAGGGTGAATAAGATACAAATTCAATCGAAAGACAGCAGTACCAAATTCAGTAATTTTACCATCAAGTATTTTCTTAGTAAACTACCAGGAGATGAAAGTCCCAAAGTGGTCCGTTTTTTTTGTTTTTGTTTTTATTCCTGGAAGGGAGTTCTGATACTCTAAATCTGAGAAGGGAAGTTAGTATGATTTATGTGTAACATCTTACTAGCTCCTGTACCCAGGAAACAGCCCCTTAACTGCCAGCAAACTTGTCATGACCAGCATGTTTATCAAACTGTACCTGCTGTGCCTACTCCCCATCCCAGTTTCACATGGTCTGAGTAAAACCAGCCCAGTACTCAGAGTCCAATATCTGAGATTCAAGCGCAGGAGAGAGGTGTTCTGGTGTTGATGCCTGTTAACAAGGACAATGAGCTCTGCAGGAGATGGCCTTGGAAAGAGCGCGGACACTCTAGGAGCACAGGCCAGGCAGCTTTCAAACCACCCACAAGAGGTCCACGCCACTCCACTTGGAGCTCCCCAGCCAGCAACTTGCTAACTGCTCTGCCATCTGCTCACTGAGCAGACCCTGACCGTCCCAAGTGGACTGCCTGTTTACTGAAACTCCAGCCCAGCCTCTACCTCCCTTTCCTCCCATTCCCCACGATTTGCTTTGCTCTCTGTAATTTGGGAATTTTAAAAACATCAACTGTCACCACTTCATTTTTGGCCATTCTAAGAAGGTGTGAAGTCTCAATCCCTGAAAGGATTTGTTTATTTCTTCCAATACCAATATCAATTCAGAAACTGACTAGGAGCTTCTTAGATCAGAAAAGGAACAGGCTCAGTGAGTGAAGGTGGGCACAGCTGTCAGGTCCAGGTTCTTCTACAAAGGTGCCACACTGAGCATGGTAACACCTGGTGTTCACATGGTGCTTTTAAGAACAATGGGCCAGGGCTCTTGAGCTCTGAGATGAGGACCTGGCTGAACTGTGGTCAATTCAGGTGAATGATGGGCTTGAACTGAAGCATTTCTGTTTCTTAGCAAAGAAAGCAGATCAGGTAGGTTTGGAGAAACTTTCCATCCATCAGTTGGGTCTGAGAATTTAGGGAGGGAGTGGGAGGCCTTTAGGTACTGGTCTTGCCAAATTCCTAAACTAGTTACTTTTTTTTTTATTGTAATAAACATAATATAAAACTTACCATCTTAACCATCTCAGGAGTATGGTTTGGTGGTATTGAGTGCATTCCCACTGTTGCGCAACCACCACAAGCATCTATCTCCAGAACTTTTTCATCTTTCCAAACTGAAACTTAGTACCCATTGACCCGAAACTCCCCTTTCCGCCTCCCAACCCAGCCCTTGAAAACCACCGTTCTCCTTTATGTCTCTATGACTTTGACTACTCTAGGTATTTCATAAAAGTGAGATCATACAATATATGTCCTTTTTGTGACTGGCTTATTTCAGTTAGCACAATGTCCTCAAGGTTCATCCATGTTGTAGCATGTGTCAGAACTGCCTTCCTTTTTAAGTCTGGATGGTGTCCCACTGCATGTAGACCACACATTTTGTTTATTCATTCTTCTGTTGATGGACACTTGCGTTGCTTTTACTTCTTAGCTATTGTAAATAATACTATGAGCATGGACATACAATCTATTTCAAACTCGGCTTTTAATTCTTTTGGGTATATACCTAGGAATGTATTGCTGGACCATATGGTAATTCTATGTTCAACTTTTTGAGGAACCACCGCAGTGGTTTCCACAAGCAGCTGCACCAGTTTACATTTCTATCAGCAATGTACCAGGGTTTTAATTTCCCTTCATTCTTGCCAACAATTGTTACTTTTTCCTCTAATAGCCACTCTAGTGGGTCTCGTGGGTATAAGGAGGTATCACTTGATTTACATTTCCCTAATAATTAGTGATACTGAACATCTTTTAATGAGCTCATTGGCTATTTGTGTATCTTCTTTAGAGAAATGTCTATTCAAGGCCCTTGCTCAGTTTTTAATAGGATTTTTTTTTTAGTTGACCAGTTACTTTTTAAAATAACTCTTTAGCTGGCATTAAGAAACCAAAGATGTCATAAATGAGGGTGAACTTTTGGCCCCTCTGTGGATACTGTCAACAAAGGGACTGCTCAGCTATATAGTTGGGTAAGGGGAGCACCTCTCTGTTTTGTAGACAGATTTTTGAAAAATTTTAATTTGTGCTCTAAATTCTTTGGATTGAAAAAGAAACAAAAATACCCACAGGAGCAGCAAAGGGAAGCAGACGTTAAAGCCTATATGTTGCATTGGCTCTACTGTTTCTTTTTTCCAAGATGCCGTTCTTAAAGAGTAGCCTGTCAAGATTAATAAAAGGGAAGAGTTTTTCAACATGAAGAGCAATTTGCACTATGAA